CCATCTCTCTTTATTTTCACCCTATTTCTCTTTGTTTCTTGTAAAATAGAATTCATTTTCAATCCCAGACACCATTTTTCTGCAGCAGAAGTGATGAATCCTCTTTCCTGCTACTAATTGTATTTTTTAGCTATTTTATTTGCCTATAAAAAATTCATGTTTTCCCCCCTCTTCCCGCCTTTAAGATAGATGCCCCGGGCAAGATATTCGTATTGTGTCTAAGGAGTGGCAAAATTGGGAGAAATGGCGTGTCAAGCTAAAGTTTGGAGGGGGAATTGATGGCAGGGAGAGCACATGGTTGTTGGCCTTGCTAATAGATGGAAATTAACTCTAACATGCATTTCAGGCTAAAGGAACAAATAATAAACAGCCTCTGTGGCCTTGGGCCTATTCAAGCATGAAAAATGGCTGTAACTCGATGTTTAAGAGAGGCAGACGACTCTTTAATTGTCTCGTATTTTGTGCTTCAGGGACAGTGATTTAAATTACATTTCATATGTTGTTGTTTCTTTCTTGTTTCTTCCATAGTTATGCTTGATTTAAGTCTACAAAATCTAAAAATGTGATACTGATATTTGTACACATTTTGACTGTTCTCACCAGGAAAAAAACTGTATTTGTTGTTTGTCCTAAACATCAACCTATAGTGATTTTTAGGACAGGCTAACAGCCGGTCAGCATAGCATAAAGACTAATTCCTTGCAAATGGCGAATTGTTGTTTCTACTGTTTTTGTACGGATTAAACAGGATATGAGCTGGTAGATGGATTTTGTTAACTTAGTTAGTTTGTTTGTCTGAACTAGAATTAAACTTAGTTTCAGTTGTGTAATTGTTTTTCACTTTGTAACATATTCATTAATTTGACAACACATGCGCAGCATTTCGAAAACACAACCAAATACATAAATTCACTGCAAATACACAGTGCGTTTGCCCTTGTTGGCCACCATATTTTTTGCTTAATTTATTTAATTTTGTTGCATATTTTCCATAACCCTAAATCAACTGAAGTCATGTTGCAACAGTGAGTGAACCTGCCCACTGGGCTGTTATTCCTTAATTACAAATGAACAATTATACAGCAAATGAGAACGCAGAATATATGAACATATTGTTTTCCCTCTTTATCTCTTACATTTGTTTTTTTTAGGATGGTTGTTAACAAGAATTTTTTTTTGTGGAAAAAATAATCTGCATCCTGCCCACACATTATTATACAGGTTTAATTCATCCTGTTTATGGCAGGCAGGCCATTCAGGGTTTGGTACAGAGTGAAGGTATTTGAGGGAGAGGATGTTGAGGCGGAATTGGTATTCTCACCGGCTCTGTTTGAGTGTGGCTTTGTTCCAAAGTGGTGTGAAGAAGAAGAGATGGACAGAGAGAGGGGGAAGGGGAATGGGGTGCTTTCTGGTGAAGGTCAGCGGGTTAAGCCGATGGGGATCCTTGGAGACGGGGCCCTGCCGAAAAGATGGTAATACCGCAAGCCATGATTCATCGCAAAGGCATCCATCACCCTGTGTGAGTGTGTGTGTGTGTGTGTGTTTACAATGACGTCATCTACATCAGTCCCCAGACTGTCAGGAGCTGACAGGCAGGGGCTGTGGAGGAGCAGTGTTTTCGTTTCAACAGGCAGAGTGATGGACTGCCATTGTGGGGGCGGAGCTGCTCTCTGAATGGCAGGTGCCACGCTGTTTGCTGTGCTCATGGGAAGTGGATTTGAGTTTGTTTGCGTACTGTTTGGCTGCAGCACGAACAGCTTGACTAGACAGGCGAGCTCCTGCAGAGCACATTAGCTGCTTTTGATATTTTATATCTTCGTCTACTTCATGTTCAGTGTCTTGAGCTCAAGTTTCATTTTAATCACAGTTTACATTATATACAGCTGCCCCCTGCTGCCATCTCTCTCCCTGCTACAGTCTGACGCAGGATAATTGAAGGGAGCGACTGTGCGAGACAGGGAGATGAGCTGTAACTATCAATATGGGCCAGAGCCTCTACCAACTGCGGGAGCTAAAATAGCTTTATAACACTAATGAATTTGTCTTTTACCTGTGTTTACATATGGTTATAGAGTTCAGACGTTTTGTAAGGTTTTTATGTTTAGCTTGGTTGAAACTGCTCTAATCATGTCTAATGTTGCTGCTGTCTCTCGGTCATGCCGCTTTGCTCTATACAACATAAGGAAAATCAGGCCCTACCTCACTCAGTACGCCACCCAGCTTCTGGTATAGGCCATGGTTATCTCTCGCATCGACTATTGCAATGCCCTCCTAGCAGGTCTCCCAGCTTGGGCAGTGAAACCTTACAAATGGTTCAGAACGCAGCAGCACGTCTGGTTTTTGATCAGCCCAGACTGAAAGACTCATGTCACTCCATTACTCAGTGACCTCCACTGGCTCCCCGTGGCCTCCAGAATCAAATTCAAGTCACTAATGCTTGCATACAGAGTGACTACTGGGTCTGCACCCATCTACCTAAACTCCATAATACAAACTTGCGTTCCTTCTCTGCCGCTACGCTCCTCCAACGAACGCCGCCTGGCTCTGCCATCCCTTCACACAAAGCAATCCCAGTCCGGCTATTCTCATCTGTGACAACACGATGGTGGAACGAGCTACCACACGCCATCAGAGCAGGGGCGTCCCTCTCTAACTTCAAGAAGCTCTGAAAACTCATCTCTTCCGAGAACATTCCTCTTATAAACCTCTAACTCCTGTATTGATTGCACTTTTTTGTTTTGATTGCACTTTTGTTAACTCTTACTTCCTTCCCTAGGTATCGACCCCATTGATGTGATATGTACTGTGAGCTCTTACTAGTACTTATTGCTCCTCTTACTAGTATGTATTGTCAGTTGTAGATCTGTATTTGATGCTCTGTTGATGCTTATATGTTGTTCCTCAAATGTAAGTCGCTTTGGATAAAAGCGTCTGCCAAATGAGTAAATGTAATCAATATTAACAATCGATTAAATGATTGCATAATGGGTTGCTTGTAGTGACAGTCTCACAGAATTATCAGTGGGCTCTGCAGTTCCCCTCGGCTCTGAGTGTTTTAGTCTCCTTGTGTGCTGCCATGGTGCAGCTTGTTTCTCTGTCCACAGAGTGGCCAAAAAATTCTATTTACGGAGGTTAAAAGATGCATTCATTGATATTTTTTGACACCGGGGGTCAGAAGACCTCAAAACAAACTGGCACATGTAGTCCTGAAATATAATCATTGTATAATGGCTTATAAAGTTGTTTTGGCTAATATGCAGTTTGGAAAACCTATTTGTCAGCCTTTTTGTGCTGGGCAGGTAGTTTACAGTGGGTGAGTTATGTTATCTCAGAACAATGAAACTTGGCATCATAAATGTGCATGATTATTTCCTTTGCAGGTTTTGGCAGCACAAACCATTCTGCAGTGTGAACATTCAAAGAACATTCGCACACTCCTAAAAGTCTATAAATATACGCTTAGTAACTTAGTAGTAAATAAGCAATATAAGAAATCCCAGGACAATGTGCAGATGTTTGACTAGCTCATTAGGCGGTGGCTATTACTGTTCAGTCTGGTGGTTTCACTCATTAGCAAAAATGTATGCAAAAGCTAATCATCCAAATCATGAACTTCAGGCATAGTTGATAACCCATGATCTGTGAAATAAGAGATCTATTTATGTACTTTAAACAAAAAAGAGCAATAAGTGAATTTAACTCCACATTTTGTCCCCAGAAAGATTTTGGCAGTTCTCATTAAATGTGCTTATCCTGTTGTACATTTACATTTCTAAAAAGCCATATTCTCTGCACATCTATCAAAAAAAAAAAAAAAAAACGACGTGATTAACTCAAATCTATGTTTTCCCAGTAGGATTCCTCACTCAGTCTTGAGGCTATACAGTGTTAGTCCCTTCTGCTGAGGTTTAATTAAAGCAAAATCCAAAAAAGAGTGATATCACCGCAGGACAAATTCTCACCTAAAAAATGTGATTGTCCGTGACTGCATGTAGGAGCTACATAGTGAATCAGCCTTAGTTTTACTCCCGAAGTTTACCGTTTGTTTGAGTCCTCCATTTGGCTCCTGGAATACTGACCCAGTTTAGTGGTGACTCTTGGTCGGCCTTAGTTGGCAGGCTCCACTGAATGTTGGGTCACAACTTTGTCCCAGTGGCCGACTGTCCCGGGAAAGCAATTCATAATATCCACATAATTATCTGCCATGCGTCCTCTTGTGCATGACAATAATCCCTTTGGTAGAGGAGAGAAAAATAAAAGCAAACAGACAGAAAGATAGACAGAGAGAATATTTTAATGTTATATAATAGCAGACTTTTACTTTAGACATTTAGGCAACCTTCCTACTTGGGCAGTGAGATCAGAGAAGAAGAGGAGATGGGGAGGATGAGTAAATGAGGCCAATGAACACAACAGGGGGTCCTCTGGCACCTTGCACACATACAGTTCATGCCAAGAGAGGGACATCTCTCAGCCCTCTTAACGAGAGCCAGTGCGGCTCTGGTGGCCAAGCAGCATGTGTGTATTCACATGCATTAGTGTGTTTGCAGTGCAGTCGTGCAGTGCTGCTGCCTGCATCCATAATTAAGCCCAAGACACAGCCATCAACAGGAATATAATTGGCCGGTAGTAGTGAAGGGGGAATGGGGGGTGGGGAGGTGGAGGAGAGTGCTGCAAACTTTCTGAGATAGAGAGGGGGAAAAAAGAAGAAGATGGAGAGAAAGCCATTTACATGCTAATGCCGTCCACAGCCCTTCAACAGCTTTGTTGGGTACCTTGCCCGCTACCCCCGAATAAGCACTTGGCTGGCAAGCTGGTCTCTGTTTACACAATAAACAAACAGCAACGAGGTTAAAGTCTTTTCATGCATCTTTTTGTGCGTGCCTACAGTATTAGCAACAGTCAGTTGTTGCATAACTGTTTTGTAATGTCTGAAGGACTCAGTGATTGCTTTTCGGCCTCTTTGTCATGCCTGGCCTTTTTCTTGTTTTGTTTCCTAGGCGACAGAATGGGCACCGGACGAGGAGACCGGAGGTCCTGTCAGAGCAAAGGCAAAACAGAGGTAACCTCAATCCCGCCCCCAATTACAACACTTCGTGTCAGTGCTGCCTGGTTTACAGAGAGGCCATTTTGATATCTACTGGCTGTTGTGGCAAGGTCCTTATGGGCCTCATGGGAGTGCTCTGTACAGAACAGCTATTTCAGACCCTTCAATCAAGAGTTGTTTTTCTTGCAGTGAGGAGAGAGGGCAAATGGAAGGGAATGAAAATATAGAGAGCCTAGAGCAAGATGATACATAAAAGTACTTCCTTTCAAATATGATAACCAACACTGCGATCAGCTGTCTTATTTTCAGTTGTGAGAACTGATGGCAACGTCATTTTTATCTCCCACAGCTCTATAGAGCCAAGGGTGATGCCTAATACACAAGAGAGACAATCAATTCTCTGTGAAACCTGCATGCATCACTGCAATTGCCTCAGTTCTTTGCCACGACAAACAAACACCACTATTAAAATAAATGATACATAACAGAAAATGTTTCATTACCAATAAATCTATGTCACGCCTTTGTTAAAGCAGATTTGACTCTTTTCACTGAAACACATACTTGACTTACTGTAGAGCCTCTGTCGATGTCACAAATAGGCTTCCATTCAGTGGCAAACGAGTATTCTTATTTTTGAACAATGGACTTAGAAGAATGAAAGCTGCAGACACTGAATTGCTGTGGTTTGGTTGCATGCAAGTCTGATACCAGAGGACTGGGTCCATTGTTCTTCTCAGCAAACATCAAAGAATATTTAGCTGCCACCTTAGCTTTTCTCTGCTCCACTGTGACTTTCTGAAAGCTTTCTTCTTCACCCACTTCTCTGCAGATTGAATGTCAGAACTACAGAGGTCCTGCTAGTGAACAAGACTGAGGTCATGACCTGCGGAACCAATGCTTTCCAGCCATTATGTATTAGCAGAGAGGTACAGATAAGTGTGTGTTTGTGTCTGTAGTTTTGTTGAAATTCAGTGAAAACACTGTAGGCTTAATCCCTTTCTTCCGTTGCTCCCTTTTTCTCTCCATCTCTGTATCGCCCTGTGTTTCGCCGTCACAGGTAGGCAACATGAGCAGTGTGCTGGAGCGCGTGAATGGTGTGGCACGCTGCCCATATGACCCTCGTCACAACTCCACGGCGGTGGTGACAGAGAGTGGAGAACTTTATGCTGCCACTGTCATCGACTTCTCTGGCCGTGACCCGTCATATACCGCAGCCTGGGCGGCATGCCACCTCTCAGGACTGCACAGTACAACTCCAAATGGCTCAATGGTACAGTAGTAAAGCAAGAACTGCCACATATGATTTCTTTGACTCACATGAAAAG